AAATATTTTGATTATTTAAAAAAATAAATGAAAAGCAACTTTTTAGTTAAAAATTTTTAAATGTTATAAAAAAAATGCCCTACGATTTAAGGGATAAGCTCTTAAGTAATAACTAGCCCAAGTCTAGTATATTTGTATAGTATCTAGTCACATAAAGATATTACAACCAAATATACAGGTTGGCCTTCAAGTCATAATTAAGATTTGTATGCTTGCTTTTTAGTTTTGACTTAATGTATGGCAAGCAGAGGAGTTAGTTGATATATGAAGGCACTGCAGTTATTATTCATAGATTGACCTTCAATTCATATGGAAGTTGACCTATCTACTCTCCAAGTGTAACAAAAATGTCTAGAAGATAGGATAGTTATAGTGATAGTAATAGTGATGAAATTTTTTATAGATGTTATATTTAACCATACACAAAGATCTACATTGTTGAAAGGTAAGCAAGAAACTTTTATTATATTACTAGCTCTACTTGCAGAGTAACTAGAATCCCTAATTATTACATGTTATCTTACTAGGTATCCTAGTCACTAGTCTAGCACATATAAAATTTCTACATTGATATTGGCTGCCATATTACTGGATAATACAAAATATAATTTCTTGGGAGTTCAGATAACAATAATTGTACAGTAGTTTCTTAAATATATCTAGTCTAACCATCAATAAGTAAACAATATCAAATATGAAAATAATGGTTATGCTGATTTTTTGGAGAGGTAAACCATTTGTTCTTTTTCAAAAAAAAATTATAGAAGAGAGAAAATTTTCCAAAGCTTATATATTGAGAAAAGTTATTACTTCTTAATTGATTCTTAAGAAAAAGGAGTCAATAAACCAGAGAAGTAATGAAATGAAGAGTGATATTTCAAAAGAAAAAAAGATCTAGAGAGAAAAAATTTCAAAGGGAAAAAAAACTTAACTTTAGCAGAAAAAGGAAAAAGAAAAAAGAGAAAAGAAAAAGAATATGATATAAATAAAGGTTTTTAAAAAGAAGATAGAAGAATAAGAAAGGAAAATGAAAAGAAAGAAGGAAAATAAGAAATGAAAATGAAAAGAAGTAAACAACTCAAAAGTTTTCTAAAAAGGAAATTTTCAAGCATAGAAGAGAAAGTAGGAAAGAGTTTTTATTATTATTCTTATTTTTTAAATAAAATTATAATATATATTTTTATAATATATAGTCTATAACAAAAAAACCTATATTATATATCAATTTTTATTTTTATAATATTTTAATAAAATAATATGAAAATTTATATTAATATACTGTATTTAAGAATATAAAAAACAAGTTTATTTAATAAAGCTTTTAAAATAATTAATTTTAGTTATATTTAAGAATAGGTCCCTAAACTATTTAGTATATAAAATTTTGCAGATCAATTATGTCCCTTTTAAAGGGACATAATTATTTATTTATTACTTTAATAGGAATATAATTTAAAAAACACTTGAATCAAATGATCTAAATTGCAAAAAACCTTTGTAAGTAGTTTTTTTTTTAATCTTATATTTAAAAAAAAACTTTTTTAATAGTGAGAAATATTTGATTTATGTTTTCACATTTAATTTAAGAACCTATCTTTAGTTATATTATAAAATAAAAATAATAAAAATTATTAAAATTATCATGATATATACCATGCTATATATAAATCAAATAAAGAAATGATGTTTATCTACAAAAAAAAAAAATTATTAAAATTATTTCAATATATAGATTTATTAAATAAAGGTTATAATAATAATAATAAATTTTTTATTAAGTACAAAAAATTATTTAATAATTAACTTGAATTTTATTAAAAATATAAACTTTATATTAAAAGTAGAGTTTTTTTTATTTTTTTATTTAATTTTTTTAAAAATTTTTCTATAGTAAAAATTTAATTTTTATTCATATTATACATATATATAAATATATATAAATAATTTATAATCCATTTTTTGAAATTTTTTTTTAACTTTAAATCAATATTTTCAAATAAATTTATTAATTAAGCATTAATAAAACTTTAATATTATATTATTTAGATTTTAAAAAAGATATATGTATTTGAAATTTTATATTAATTGAATTATTATTAATTATAATAATAATAATAAAAACAAGTTTTTTTGTCACACACTGTAATTTGATTTATATGCTAATTTATAATTATAAAGCACTGTTCAGATCGATATGTTAGTAATTTTATTATTGAAATATTATTTCAAAAATAAGAATGCTGAATCACCAATTATATATAATAAATATACTCTCTTTTTTAACTAATAAAATCTAATAAAAAAAATTTCTTAAATAAGTATAGACCATGATAAATTACGATCATCCTACAGTGTGTATCGAACAATGCATAAATGCGGCACGGGAATACCAGATTATAAATAATTTCTGCTTCTAACGGGTACGACGTGTGTATTATTATTATTTGTCGTTCATGTATTCTATTTTAGGATAATTTTTCGTAACATACATAAAGGGAGAACAAAAATAACCATATCACAGTGGCACGTATCAAACATGCAAATAAACTTCCCTTTTTCAAAGACGTTCTTGATATTTCCCACCTTCTACTTTCCTTCCCTACCCTCAACATTTATATCCATAACTTCACACAATGTCGCCTGTCGTCACTACTCCTGACAGTGTACCACAACTACCTGTTTATGACCTGGGAAATTCCTTTACTGCAGAGGAATTACAAGATGGGTTGTTCTTAACTGAAGAAATAAAGTTTAACGCGGAAAATTCTTTTGCCTTAAAAGGAGAAGAAGAAAATTATGCAAAAAGAGTGGAAGAACAGCAGCAGCAACCAGAGTCTGAAAAAGTCAGTGAGAGTGATACCGACGATTCCAGTTGGACTAAGAAAAAACCCGTCATAGTTACTAGCCAAAATCACCAAAGGATTGATTTTATCGATCTTTTAGATACCACAGGAGGATGTGAGTTTAAATAATGAATATCACTTTTGCTGTAATAGCGACGCTAATTTTTTATGATTTGTATCCAATATTGTAATAACTTAGTGGTTCATCACGAAAGTCCATATGATTGTGTCCTACCCCACCGAAACGTAAATTCTAAAGCACCGATTTTGGCATTCGGTCAAATCGATGATATTTTTCAACCAGACACACAAGATCAGGATTTGAATGAAAAATATCCGGCTAAAAAGCATGCTTCGTACAGTGTAAATTACAGGGATAGCTTTTTGGAAGGTTCTTCTGCTTATGGTATACATCCACCTAAGATCCCCGAAAAAGCTAAAAGAAATAGTATATTTAACTTGAAAAGATTGATATCATCCCGGAGAAAAGGTCTTGACTCGCAAGAGGAAAAAAATGACAATTCAATCAGTTCTCGAAAGAACGCCGCATCCTCTCGTGTTGAAGTGCTAAAAAGTTCGGAATATTGAAAATCAACGATCTAATTTCATATCTCTTTATAATTACCTTTATTCAATAAACTTTAGAATCAAATATGTCTAATTGGAGTTATTGTAAACTTTAAACTTTCCCAGCATATAAATTTTATTTCTCCATCCTTGATTTTCTATTCTATTTAATTATCTGTTACTTTTCAAATTGTAAGTTACAATTTTGATATTCGTATATTAATAATTTCTTTAATAACATATGTAGATAGTTATATCTTAAAGAAATATATTCAAAAAAAAATCGGAGATATTATTTAGCTATAGAAAAAATTTTTTTATAATTCTTGTTTTTAGAACGTTTTTCATAAATTTCATCAGGCGAAGATTTAAGAAAGAATCAAAAAAATTATTTTGTTATGAAAATACAGTCTGGTGTAAAAGTCTTTGGACTTCTATTTTAGCTTATAATTCAGTAGTTAATTAATATACTGTATAGTATACAGTATATACCGTATATAAAATTTCAATTTTTAAGAATTACAAAAAAGATATTTTATAATTCTTTACATAAACGAAATTAATATCAACTATTATAGCTTTTATAAAAAGTTTTTAATAAATTTTAATAAATTTTTTAAATTAAAATTATTAATATATATATATATAGCATATTTATTTGTTATTATTTATTATCAAATATAAATATATTTTTATAATTCGAATAATTATTTTATTGAACTTTTAACAAAAAATAAATATTTAAAAAACTTTTTAAAAAAAATAATTAAATTATAAACTATCTAAAAAATTATAAAAAAATTATATACAAATAATAAATAATAATAATAATAAACTCTTTCCCATACATAACATTTTTCTTAAAAATTTCCTTTTATAATAATTTTTTTCAAAATTAAAGAAACAGTTTTTTTTATTGCCTTTCAATACCCAAAAGTTCTTCTTACTTCTTTTATTTTCATTATAAGAACCTTAAGAAACCTAGGAAAGTATACTGGTGCATTAGGATGGGATCTTTGACCAGGGAAAAACAAGTTTGGGGCACTTGCTTTTTTCTTGGATTGCATGAGAAAAGGCCCATGGCAGTTGTTCTTCTATAAATTTTTCTTGGGGTTCTTTCCATTTATACTTTTTATCAAAAAACAATTCTTATTAAATAACTACTTTTTATTCTTGAAAAACTGTTTTTTATCTCAAAAAATCAAATATTATATCTATATTGTTTATATTGTTAACTTGGGGCACTAGCAGTATATATAATATTTACTTTTCACTATTGCTTAGCACAATATGTAATACTACAAAAATCCAAAAATTTTCACTCAAAAAATTTTTTATCAAAAAACTATAATCAGTTTACTTCTGTTAACTAATCATCACTTTAAACTTAACCAATCAAATACTACTAAACATTAAAACAAACTTATATAACCAAAACATTATACAATGATCAATATAAACAAAACCAGTTTTGGTAACTACAACCAAAACAAAATTATATTACTGACTTATAAACCAATTATCTTATTAACCATCAACTATATCAACACAACAATAACAACAACTATAACAACCAATCAAATCACATGCACTTTATCATTTGTATTAACAAAAATTATGCTTACAAGTAGCAAAGAACTGAAGAGACAGGACAATGAGCCTGACCAGAGATTCTTTTAAGAATATAATTTTTTTCTTATAGATTTTATAGTTTATTTGATTTTGTTTTAGTTCTAGTTACTTGTGTTTTTTTTTCTCTTTTCAAAAAAATTTTTTTTTTTTAAAAGAGCAAATACCTATTACGTTTTATTATATTTATTATACTTTCACTTACAATATAAGATATAATAATCAATAGCACGACATACGTCTTTCTTTGTTAGAAAGAGTTTAACGCAAGGCTCTTATATGGGGCCCGACCCCTGTACTCTTTTAGCACCATTTAAAAAATATAGACAAAAGGAAATTCAAAAATCTATATCTAATTATGAATGCTATCCAGCTACCTGGAATTAAATAAATACTTAATCACATGAAGGCACTGCAGCCAATCTATACAGGTTGGCCTCCAAGTCATAATTAGGATTGGCACACTTGCTTTCTAAATATGGCTTGATATACGGCAAGCGGAGTGATGTTGGAGGTGGTAGGAAATGAATACCTTTTTGCATAAAGGTACTGCAGCCACTTTATACAGGTTTGCCTTCAAGTTACAAAAAGGATTTGGCACACCTATACTTCAAGTGTAGCGGAAGTGTCCTATGGGTGGAATCCAAGTTCTTTTTTAATTCTCTCCTAAAAATATTATTAGCAATAATTTATAATACTTCGAAGATTTTTAAAAACTTATTTTATTTTTTTCTATTTTGCTTTTAATTAATGTTTTATTTATTAAAATACTTTTATTATTCAAATCAAGAACTGTTTGATATACTGCAATGGTAAATATCACTTGTTCCTTTGAGGCATCTCTCTTTGGCCAAACTTTTTCAAGAATATGGGCCATCATACTTTGTATCTCTTCTCTTGGACAGCTGTGAAGATTTTTAAAGCATTTGGCAGTCTTCTGAGATTGTTTTCAGGCCAAAATGTCAATGACAATTGCATTTGTATTTATTGTATCCAAAACCTTTCACCAAAAACTGAAAACATAACATCACAAATTTTTGAAGCCATAGTTCTACAAAGCGATTGATGCTATTTTATGAGCTTTTAAAGCAATAAGGTATTTAATAACTGAAGAACTAAAGTTATTAATATTTATAAGAATTACTGCTTGATGAATATGTTTTTCATAATATGTTTTCCAATGTTTTCTTGTAAGGCCTTCATAAAACTTTGAATATTCTTGCTGAAAAAATTCCTTGATTATTTAACAAAAATCTTCATGGACCAGGTATATTTTTTCAAAACATATTTGTTTTGCAATACTCTTAACCATATGTTATTTAAATAAAATATAAGTTTTCGAAGACCTTTAAAAAAATTTAAAATAAATTTTACCTTGATAAAATCATGTTCAGTAATTAAATATTAACTCATGTGAATTTTATTTTCAAGGTAGGTAATTTTATTCTCTATAATTTTTTGCCATTTTAACAATTAAGCAATTTTTTAGGAAGACCTTCATAGGACTTCATAATTCTTTCAATAGCTTTATTAGGGACTAAATATTTATGTTAGTATTTATTTTAAATTATAACAAATTTTTAAATATACCTGAAGTTTTTTTAGACATTTTTCATACTGGAGTATCAAAAGAAGATTCAAAAAAATATCTAGGGAATCTCAATCACTTCTGAGGTGTTTTTGTTTCCATTTCAATAAGAGTTGAAGATCTTTGTTCAGTAGTTAGCCCTTGGATTCTCTGAGCACTCTTTGCCTTTTTAGAAGACTTCAAAGTACTTCATTGACTTTTTTCTTTTTTCTTTTTAGCAGAACCAAAAATAAGTTTTTGAAACATTTTACATTTCTTGTTTTTTGTTTGACATTAAAAAAAAAGTGAGAACTTTAAAAACCTTATATAATACAAATTCCAAGAAATTATATCATATTATAACTGCAAACTTTTTTTTGTTACCTTTTGAAAATTACTTCATAAATATAAATTATTAAATCATTATACAAAATAAAATTATTTTATTATTTTATTGACATAATTATTGTAACTTATAAATTAAATTTTTTTTTTTTTTTAAATGCGAGTAGACTTTACTCTAATTTTTATTAATTTGTTATGAATGACATATATTGTATATTTTTATTTACACATGAATTATTACAATTAGAATTCACTCACAAGTATATTATCCGGGTGTAGCCTACCTATAAGAACTATTTTAAGTGCATTGATTTTCTACATCTTCTAGCCTCAAATTTGTAAACCTTCTATTAAGTCTTTTAATACCAATCAGATTAATCATTGGAGTACTGTGTCTCAAATTCCCGGTCCTCTTCCTTTAGATTAACAATCTCAACGATTGATGCAAAGGGATTCACATTTGGGAAATGAATGGGACCTTATAGCCAGTAGTGTACCTTTAAACCTTCTTGGGATTGACGATCCAATACTTTGTAGATAATGCCGGGCTTCAAGCATAGGCTGCTTATTTAAGAGGGCGCAAATCCTCCAAAGTCAGGCTAAGTCTTAAAGGGAGTCTTCCATTCTGACAATCATTACCAACTAAGTACCTTCACTACAGATAAAAATGGTAGGTGTTACTGGCGAGTACGTAACTCATGCTGTAGGGGGTTGTTCTGAAAGTCTTGCTTGAAAATTTCTGGTTTTGTGGCCCTCCATAATTTTTTTTATAGTCTTATGGACTATAGAAAAGAGAAACAATCTGTTATGGAACTGGGAATTGCACCAAACTTGGCAGCAATCATCATAACGCCAACCAGACGATCGTTACACTGCAATATCTTTTCTAGAGATTACAATCTCAACGTCCGCTGGATCAGCATGTGAAATGGCTTCACATGAGAAACAGCATATAACAGGTTATGGTGCCAGATACTATATAAGTTCTATTCAATCGTCTTCACCTGGGATTGAACTGGTATCTTGTGATCTAACTTGTGAAGTGTTAACCACTACACTATAGACCCACAGGTTTAAAATTTATTTACAAATTAAAAAAAACTGAAGAAATAAAACAATAAGTTTAATCAAGAATTTTTTTAAAAATATAATTTTTTTTTTATAGATTTTATAATTTATTTGATTTTGATTTAGTTTTAGTTATCTTATTTTTTTTAAAATTTTTTTTATAACTTAAATATTTTTTTCCAAATAAATAAACATAACTATAACTTGATTTATATTTAGTAACAATATTGTTTTAAATTTTTTTTTTCAATATTAACTATTTATAGTATTAATAGATATGTTAACATTTAGCTTGTTATATATTTTGTACCTAAAAGATATTATTTTTTTTAAAATTGCTTCAAATTTAAAATATAGATAGTCTAATATTATATCATTTATAAAATAAACTATTAATATTTAATAGAATTAT